GATTTCTGTGTTACGTCCCTGTTGTTTTTACCAAAGAAAACAATCGAAATAATATTTCAAGTTTTTTTGACGAGATTTTTAAATGCGTATTAACGCTGGAAATATGTTTTTATCTCTGTGTTGCAATGTTAGGTAAAATAACAAGTTTTTTGTCGCCAAAGAGGTATTATGTTAAAACGCAATAAACCATGAATTCCCCTAATATTAAAGTTGTTTTTCGTTATTAGTCGAGGGTCAATAAAAAGAATATTTGTTTGTTTAGGCAATAAAGGAATATTTAAAAGGTTTTTTTGTCGATACGAGCGAGTGGATGTTGTTTTGGTTCTTGAGTTGGTGGGGACAGGTTAGCTGCAAGACGGAAGGGAAATTTTTGGCGAGTTTCTTGTAAAATGTAACGAAGGGGAGTCGAGATTTAGATTCCAAGCGGGGCAGACATGTGATAAGGAGTCGAGATTTGAGTTCCAAACGGGGCAGACATGGACAATTGAGACCAAGATTTGATTTGAAGAAGAGTCGAGATTTAGATTCCAAGCGGGGCAGACATGTGACAATTGAATCAAAGATTTGAAACGAGTCGAGATTTAAGTTCCAAGCGGGGCAGACATGTGACAATAGGGTCGACTGAGAGATTTCAAACAGGACAAACGTATTAGTTATGTAGTTTGCAAAAGTCGACAAATTTTGTTAAATAGTGGAACAATTACTCTCTGTAATATGACAGATTTAGAAAAGGGTAGCCACTAAATATTTAAAGAATTTGTGCAGATACCAGAATATGGAAAATATTTAAAGTATGATATAGGATGTCCCCGTAGTCGGCTTATTTCTTCCACTAAGTTCCTGTTCCAATCGATTTGTCCTGGAGTGTAGAACTAGTTCCTGATGGTTGCTGCCTTCCAATTTTGAAAGTTTTGTCCGAGTAGCTTCCCCAGAGATGTAAAGTTTCAAAGTGTTTGTATAAAAAAAAACATTAAGGTAACAATTCAATATATTAATCTTTCAAAGTAAAGACAGATATTTTTTGGCTAAAGTAATAATTGCTTTCATTCTTTGTCATCAAAATTAAATGTGATACCTGACAGCAAGCTTAATTTGTTTTTTTGTTATGACAATTTTAATTTGATTATTATGTAGAAACGATATTTCATATATAAGGTTAAATTTATATGTTTTCATTAACAAGGATCCTTAATTTTTGATAATCTAATTGGCCATAATATAGTAAACAAAGAACATGTAAGTTTTTGTTATTTGTATTATGTTATATGATATGTTTCTTTTATAATATGTATTTTTGATCTGTTTTGTTTGAGACAAAAATAAATGTTTAATTTGTTTCTCTGATCTGTTTTGAGTTTTATTTGAAAAAGATATTTTTTTCTATATTTTTGATGTTATACAATTATTTCCCTAGTTACAACTAGTGGTTGTAATAGGTATAATTGGGCACCTCAAGTGGCGCCCTATATTAAATTTCTTGAGGTGTTTTCGTTTATTTTCATTCTGTTTGTCCCAAGAGATTTGTATAAGTACCCCTTTATTTCTTTTTTTGTAGTTGCCCCAATCTAACCCCCAATATCTTCAACTTATCCACGACCCAGCTCTCCAACAACCAACTGAGTGTCCGTATGCACTTGTTTCGATTATTTTGTTTGCCCAATCTTGTCCCCCATATTCTTACCCTGTGGTAAGCAAAATATTCGTTACAAGTTTGCTTCTTCTACCTGCGTTTTCTGGTTCTGTCCATATGTTACGTGAATTTAAAGACTTGGCCCATAATGACTCCTAGTTATTTATAATTCTTCTCTGCTTTTATTTTCCATTGGATGGGATTATCTTGTACTAAGAGCTGTTTGTCTGGGGGTTTCTCTTTTCTTTTGTAATATGATTGCTTGTGTCTTCTTAGAATTAATAGCTTTCTAATCCTCAATATTATTCAATGCTGTCTGTAGATTATTTACCGGTATGCGATGTATATTGTAGGGGTATTATACAGTAGGGGTGACAGGACTACTCCCTGTCGCACTTTAGCCTCTGGGGCTCCGTTTTCGGATTGCACTTGTTCTGTCCGAACCATAAAGCTTCAGTTGCTCAAGTACGGAGAGATCAGGCTCGTTACGGCCTCATTGTATTCATAGCCCCTTATTTTGTATATTAGTTCTTTATGCCAGACTTTCAAAGGCTATGCTTACATCCAGGAACGCTGAGCATGTGTACTGTTTGTTATTAAATCCATCTATTATGTATTTTGTCAGTCTAAGTACTTGTAATTTACTGAAGTGTTCTGTTCTAAATTCGAAGTAAGCTTCTGGGATTAGTCGTATTTCGTAATGCGTTGCATAAGATTCGATAATATTAAGGTTGGTAAATTCGAAAACGTTATGACAAATCTGCAGTAAAAAAACTGACTTTAATAAATTAGCAAACAGATGCCAAAAAAATATGTATACTAGGACTGGAAACAATGATCGATAAAATGTTAGAAGCTTTGCGAAGACGATGTAGTTTCCCTCATCATATAAAGAGTAAACCTGCGCGATATGGAATTCAAATGTTCTCGCTTGCAGATTAACAAAGTTGCTACACTCTGAATATAAAAATTTATAACCCGAGAGAAGTAACCTGCAGTAAAAAAACTGACTTTAAAGAATTTGCAAACAGATGCCAAAAAATATATATACTAGGACTGGAAATTATGATCGATAAAATGTTAGAAGCTTTGAGAAGACGATGTAGTTTCCCTCATCATATAAAGAGTAAACCTGCGCGATATGGAATTCAAATGTTCTCGCTTGCAGATTTACAAAGTTACTATGAAAATTTATAACCTGAAAGAAGTACCCTGAGGCTAATTTCTGCCAGATAATAGTTCAGCAAATATTATCAAACGGTTTACTTCAGTCGCCTCAGGTTAAGAATGACTGCAAAAAAATTGACAGTTGTTGGAACCACCTGCAAAAACAAGAGAAAACTATAGCCAGAATTTATCAGCTTTAAGAATAGAAAAGTAAACAGTATTATTTTTGTATTTAACAGTAACATAACTTTACTATCATACGTACCAAAAAAAGGTAAACCTCTGACATTGATTTTGTTAATGTACCATAATAGACAAGTTTCCGGTAATAATATTGTCCTGCAATACAACAAAGGTATTAGGCATAGGTGTTTGTTGTACAATTTGAGTTAATTTTATTTCAATACAAAAGAAAATTTAAAACAACGGTCTTCTTGAGAACTCTTGCAAGTGTACTAAACTAATGTGGCTGACAATGGTTATTATTTCTTTACAAATTAAAAGCAGTGTCAGTAGCGTTAGACACTAGTAGATAGGCACAAAAGATAAAGAAGTTGATAGTCAAGACATACGATTCATAGAAAAGCTATACTGGCGTCAAACAGCGACAGCTTGCATTAACGGAAAATCAACAGAAATATGTAAAATCCAAAGAGGTGTCAGACAGGGTTGTATACTATTCCCACTGTTATTTAATTTATATTCAGATAGAATATTTAAAGAAGCGCTGCATAATTTGGAATGGGGCGTGAAAGTTAATAGAATTCTGATAAATACAATCAGATATGCTGACGATACAGTTATTTTAAGTGATGACATGAATGGATTACAATGCCTTTTAAATGCCATTGATACAGTGGGAAGAGAGTTTTGGCCTAAACATAAACTGTTCAAAAACAAAACACATGGTGTTTAGCCGTTTATCACATCAAGATGCATGATTATATGTTGATGGTCATATAATTCAAAGAGTGTCCAGTTTTAAATATCTTGGTTGCCATATTACTTAACAACTAGATCCAGATCAAGAGATAAAATGTAGAATCGAGATAGCCCGCACGACATTTTTAAAAATGAGGTCATTCTTCTGTAATGATAACTTGAAACTTCAACTTCGAAAGCGTATGGTTAAATGCTACATTTGGTCAGTCCTATTATACGGTGTCGAAGCATGGACATTAAAAATATCCATTATTATTCGTCTGGAGGCCTTTGAAATGTGGCTGCACAGACGTATATTAAAAATTCCATTGACGGCAATGCTGACAAATGTGGCAGTCCTTGAGAGAGCAAATGCTGCTCGCGAGCTGCTTGATAACATCAAATGTAGAAAGATGGCCTATTTTGGACACGTAGTAAGGGAAGACCGATATAATATTCTTCAACTTATTATGATGGGTAAAATCGAAGGACGCAGAGGAATTGGTAGAAAGCAGGCCTCTTGGTTGAAGAATATCAGAGAGTGGACAGGAATAAAGAAAGCTGAGCAACTCTTTAGAATAGCTCGAGACAGAGACAGTTTCTCCATGTTAATCGCCAACGTCAAGGGGACTTGATAGGGCACGTTAAGTAGAAGAAGTCAGTAGAGTGCTAAAAATTAGTGAACCAGCCCTAGAGTATATAATATCATAGGAAGGTAGTATTATACCTAAAAAAAAACCGAAAAACGAGTACAATTTTTACGCTTGCTTAAGGTATATCTGCAGTGAACAAAAGTTGACATTTGCCTGAGATACGTAGAAAATGTAAAAAACTAACATTTAATTTACATACCTATTAGTTTTAAGTTGTTAGAATAAGAGAATTTCTTTAAAATATTATTGAGTTTTGCTTTGTAAAGTTATTTCTTTTTGTAAAGTATTATTTTTAATGATTTAAATATTAATGAAGTGAATTATAACGTATAAAATCATGAATTAACGGAAGTCCATGAAAACGACCAACAACAAGGATTGACGAAACTTTTTAAGCGCGAGTTGTCTCCGGTTAACAACATCAATCTGATTAAAATGTCTATATTATCTTTATTTTAAAAGGCTAACTGTATCCTCATAGTCTCTATTTAGATCAAGTTTACGATTTTATCTCGAGTTGGCGTCTTTTAGCATAATAATATGAGTTCTAAGATTTAATATTTTATTGTTACTTTTTTGACAATAATTTGGGTGTAAACTTAACTAAATTAACTTATTTTGATTTTCAGGACTAGAACTCTTAAAACAATCTCCGGACTTCTCAGTCAGACGATTTACCAAAATATGCGGTGACAACGATTCTTTCATGGCAGTAATATACAAAGATATTTCTCCATATTTATACCCATTTAGCGTAGAATTTAGTATTCTAGTTGGTAAGTGTTCTACATAAAAATTATTAAAACAAAAAAATACGATTTTTCTTTAAAAATACGTTAAATATTTTACTTCGTCAGTCATACGGATATAAAAATGAAGCAATGTGTTTATACCTCCACGAATTCCGGACCTATGTTATTTTGTATATTAAGTAAAGATAGTGTGTGTGTGTGTGTGTGTGTGTAGAGGGAAGGGATGGCCTTAGACATAGTCTATTAGCCACAGAATTCATTTTTATTCATATTCCTGTAGGAACATAATATTAGGTGCTTCTAAGGTTAAATATCGATTTTAGCTTCTTTAACGTAATTTATCATTGCATCTAAAACGCGTTTATTATGGCTTGATAACAGAGAACCAATGTTGAGAGGAAGAGGAATGTTGTATTCTATTAGAGAATTATATAGTCTAGAGATAGCCGATTCATTTTTTTTACACTCCAGAAATATGTGGTTAATATCACCTATGGACATGTTGTCACAGTCACATAACGGGGAGTTAAGTATCCCTAATTTATAAAGGTGCGCCGGAAAACGACCATGATTCAATTTTAAGCGAGTTAGTGTTGAAGTATATCTTTTTATATAATCAAATGTTATATCCGGTATTCTATTTGGAAGCTGTGGGTAAAGCTGGAAATAAAGATTTTTAGATGTCTTGCTAAAATTATTGTAAGATTCTGACCATCTGACTTTTATTTATCTGATTTGCAAGCTTCTTTTGCTTCACAATCAACCCTTTCATTACCAGTAATACCGCTATGACCTTTTACCCAAATGAGAATTATTTTTTTATTTTGTTGGTTTACTTGGTATAATAAGTTTTTTATTTCACAAACTAATTCTTGATTATAAATATTTATTGGAGATCCTTCAATTGCTTGCAGAACGGACTTTGAATCTGACATAATAGAAACCGTTTGAACTGGATTTAGTGAGCACCATAGTAGGCTTTTTTTTATCGCGATAGACTCTGCACTGTAAATAGAGAGTGTATCTGCTAGTCTAAATTTTTCTACATGGTTGATGTCTGAAACAAAAAATGCTGCACCTGTTCCATTTTCACATTTGGACCCATCTGTAAATATTTTAGTAACATTTTTACCAAAGCATTCAAAGTGGTTAAGAGTATTAGGTTATTTAAATTAGCGTTTTCAGTATATTCAGGGTATATAATGGTTGGCCGAAATATCATACTTTGATAACTATATTCATATATTGGATATTTGGGGCTATTGAATTTACAAATGTCATATTGATTGGTATTATTAAAGCCATCTGCCAAGGGAGGGGAGTTTTTTATTCTCCAATAAGGTGTTGTAAGGTTACAAGTGTTAATAAAAGCTATTTTCTGGATCATATTCGTATTAAATGCCCTGTATTTTATTATTTGTTTTTCAGCTAAATACTGTCTCCGTATATTTAATGGCGGTTCTTGTATTTCTGCAAGCACTGCTTGGTTAGGCGATGACATCATTAGACCCATACAAATTTTTAATGCTTTGTATTGTATACGATCGATAGTTATGAGATTCGTTTTAGATGTTGCCCCATATAATGTACAGCCATAGTCCAATATGGAACGAATATATGCTTTGTAAAATGTATACGATACAGTTACATCAGCCCCCCATTTTTTCTTGGAAACCACTTTTAGCAGATTTATGGCTTTTTCGCATCTTTTTTTAATATATTTTATGTGGTTAGTCCAAAGCAATTTTTTATCTAATACTATACCTAGGTACTTATATTCGTCTACGAATGGAATCGTAAACCCATCTAGACAAGCAGCTCTAGCAGTTTTAACTCGGTGACGAGTAAAGGAGGCCGCGCATTGAATCGGCTCAGAACGGTCGGCTCGGAACGGTACGATTAGATCGGCAAAGTGTACCGCGCACTGACTCGGTCTCATCGGCATCGGCAGTTTCGTATCAGCAACCGTTTGAAATAGACTTAAATTATCTTAAAAATGAGTTCTAGTTCATCAGAGTCTGAAGATGTTATGATTGCCTTAGCGTGTAATGAAATGCAAAAACAAAAACCAAGACATTGGATTCATAACATTAATTTAAAACGTGAAACTTATGGGGAGTTTTATCATTTGTTTCCGGACTTACTCGAAGATGACGAAAAGTTTTTAAAATATATTAGAATATCTAGTGTTAAATTTTATAAACTGGTTGATCTATTACCCCTTAGAAAGCAGGACACAAACTTTCGAAAATCAATATCTCCTGAAGATAGGCTAGCGGTTACTCTAAAGTAAGTATCCCAATTTTCAACTAAAATAAATAGGTAATTCATAATTTATAGAAAAAAACAATTTATTTTTTTAATTAAACTATAATTCACAAGTATCTGAGTTTTCATTTTCTGAATTAAAAACTAACTGAGCTTGCCACTCGCTCGTAAAGTCTTGATTGGTTGGGCTTGAAAGAGGTAAACAGGATACAGATGATGCGCTATGTGAGACTACTAAAGGTACTTGAGAATGTACTGGTTGATTATTCGTAATTTCGTTCATCATTAAATTTTTGAGTTCAAACTCACTGACTAAATTTAATATTTTTGATTTAATTTCAACTTGAAGATGAGGTGAAAAAGTTCTTACAGTTACCTGCATATCTTTAAAAAATTTTTGTAAATGATCTGCTTATTTAACGACTTTTGATGCAGCTTTTCCTTCAAAATAATTTTTCAATACTTGCGCCATTTGATTCGGTGGTTGTCTCATATGCTTAGATGTAGTAGCCCTAACTTCTGAAGTCGCTGGTGACATAATATTGTTGTCCTGAGGAGGATGTTCCGAGGAATTCATAGAATTCTCAGTAGCATGATGCATGTGTGTTTTATCTTCAGAAATATTTAAACAATTCTCTTCTGGCTGGCTGTCTGACAAATTTGACTTCTGTACTCTTTCCGAGTAGAAGGGAACTATGAAAGACATGGTGTCTTCATATTTCCACTCTTTTATTGTGGTATTCCCTTGACCACTGACGGTTTTTCTGTTTTTAATTGCTTCTCGGAAACCATCTCTAAGCGCTGTTTACCTTTTTTGCAATCTGGAAATGTAAAAAGTCGACATTAATTAATTTCAAATATATATTATATACATTCTTATTCTGAGATTTATATGGATATTTTCTTATCATTGACGAACTCTGTACTGATTCTTTATTACCAATTAATATATTTTCGTATTTTTAGGTTTTTGGGTTATGGCGATTCAATTTCTACAATTAGTTTTAGTTATAGATTAGGAGAAACAACAGTAAGAGAAATAATCTATGATACATGTCAAAAAATATGGTCTACCCTTGCACCGTTAGTGATGCCTACTCCGACACTAGAAAAGTGGCGAAAAATAGAAAAAGAATTCCGTACAAAATGAAACTATCCTAACTGTGTTGGGGCAATAGACGGCAAACATGTGGTATTTGAAAAACCTTCGAATTCAGGATCTCTTTTCCACAATTATAAAAAGGAGTTTAGCATCGTTTCACTAGCCTTAGCGGATCCAGAATACAGATTTATCTCTGTAGACGTTAGGTCATTTGGCCGAAATAGTGACGGGGAGATATTCCCCGTCACTATTTTCCCAAGCTGTTCATCACAGCTTGGGAAAAAACTACTAACAAATGAATTAAACTTACCTACAGATAAAGCGTTGCCTCAAACAGATATTGTTTTACCTCATGTAATTGTCGGGGATGAAGCATTTCCCTTGTTGCCTAATGTAATGAGACCGTATCCAGGAAGCCAAGTAAGCAATAATGAATAAAACCGAATATATAATTATCGTCATTGCAGAGCTAGACGTGTAAGTAAAAACGCATTTGGAATTATGACGAAACAATTCCGAATTTTTTTTAAAAAGTTTAATATTTCGCCCGATCACCTAGATACAATTACTTTAGCTTGCACAGCATTGCACAACTTTTTAAGGAACGATTCTTGTGCTTGGCAACCTGGAGAACTTGAGGATGAGGAGGTGCCTAAAGGTCTTGATAATATGGTTTATATTGGTGGTAATTTTCAACGAGACGCTTTCAATGTCAGGGAAAAATTTAAACAATATTTTTCATCCAATCAAGGAAGTGTGGCATGGCAACGTGAGAAAATACATGCTGGAAGATAATGTCTTTAAAAACCATTATATAAGTACAAAAAAAATTGGCATATTTTCAATTAATTCAGTCAAACTTTGAAGTATTAATGTATCTAGTACTAAGCATAATATTAAAATTAAGGAAATATATTTTACATTTAAAATAATATTAGGATAAATATATGGTAAAATAAATAATTATTACTTACTGGAAATTCCTGTTTTTCTCGCTATCTCACTCCAAGCATTATCTTCTCGATTGCTGTCATGATAGTATCTATTTTGGGGATCATATATTATATATTCCCGCACACTTTCTATTAAAAGTTCGTCGGCCATAGTCCGTTTATAAAAATTCCGACGTGTACCTTTCTATGCGTAAAATACTACTATACAACGACGTCAGCATCAGACCATTCGGCAGTTTTTGCCCCTGCTATCATTCTCCGCCGATGCCGAGACGATCTGACCGGTCCGAGTCGAACGTTCTTAAGCGATGCGCGGTGGTTCATTTATTTTAATGTATAGCAATATCTGCTGATTGCTCTTAGCCGAGCCTACCAATCCGAGTCGATTCAATACGCGGCCTCCTTTAAACATACCAAGGCAGTCTTATCCTGAGAAACGCTAAGTAAAGATAGTAAATTGTATATTTAGTAGAAATCCGAACACCCTTTATAAATTATTTTATTTTAGTACATTTTGATATACAGCCTTCTTTTCGCAAAAACGATAAGTGATTATAATTTCATATAATAAAATAAATTACGCAACGAGCCAATAGCCATTGGTTATTCTACTACTATGAAATAGGAATATGAAACAATATCACTAGTCCTGTAATTTCCAATATTCTGCTTTGAATAGTTAGTTATAAAGACTGGTCAAATCGTCTGTCATAATTATCATGCATTTCAACTGAGTAAAACTTTGTAGCAAAGTGACAATCACAAATCTAAAGTATAGTATCATTGCCAATAAATATATTCTAGTAAATTTCAAATATATGTACAATTTATAATAATTTTTATTATATTCATTACATTAAAGCCTAAAATACCAAATCTAAACATTCTTACAAAATTTCAGTTGGTGTAATATTCGTGATTTGGCAAAACATACAGAAGTGTGACGACGCCGAGAATGAAGACACGTCGACATTGCCATGCAGCATCCTTTCAGAATTGCCTGATAAGGAAGGAAATGTAGTCGTTCACGCCGATTGTCATTCTAGTAACAAGGGTCTCTTTGGTGGTTTTGTCGTTTTGGTATTGACAGTTGTCAGTAGTATATTGTTTTTTATCGCTGTCTACGATGAAGATAAGTAAGTATTTTAAATGAGTATTTATATAAATTATTATTTTTGGGACAATGACAAGTAACTAAATTTATTCAAGATTAGGACTGTCTGAAATTATATAAAAATAGTCAGTATAGATTTCTTTTTTTTTTAAAGATAAAAATACGTTTATTGACGTTTCAATTTCCACTTCGGAGATCGTTCTCAAAATACAAACAGTAAATTAAACACATTTTGTTTTTTGTTACATAGTGAAAAATTCTTCTAATAATTTAATTTTATCTGACTCATTGATATTGACAATTCAGACATACATTATGCATTTTAAAGTAGACGACTTTAAAATGATATTGCTAATATTGTTGAGTTCGCTCCTGGGACGACTTTACTTATAAGATAGTTTATTTTCCATATTCACTTCCAAACCCCACTCTGTAAATTCTTCTAATAGTTTTCGCATCATGTAACGAAAATCTTTAGAGTCCTGTACGATGATGACCTAGTCATCCGCAAAGCACAGAGTGTACAAAGTTAAGTCCATTAGTGGTATGCCCATATACGTACATTTTTTGTTCCATTTGTTGAGTGCTGTTTCGAGGTGTATTTTAAATAATGTTGCCATTACGCATTACAGCATCCTTTGCCATTCTTTAGATGCCTGCATACGGTTTCGACTTATCTTTCATTTATTCTAATTGGTGATTCTATCAGCCTGACGCCTTGTAGACCATAGTTCTCTAGCTGTTTGAAGAGCCCTCTTGTCTCTGTTAGTAAATCTTTAAAGTATTCTTCCCAAGTTTGCGGTGATATGGACTGGGTAATATCTCTTTTTCTGTTGTTGCTTAAATTTTTTAACACTTGTTTCCAATAACTGTTTTTAAATATGTGACCATGTATTCGTTATCTAAAACCTTAACTATCTTGGCAATATAGTGTGCAATATTATTTTTACTGGTCAATTTTACAAGAATAAAATCACCTTCTGTTAACTTAGAAAAGCTCAGTATTTTTTCACGTTCCTGTTGCTCTAATGAATAATTTTTATTTTTGTTTGCCAGAAAAGTTTCTAAATCCTCGTCACTTAAATCCTGTGATATATTTTTCATCTCTTTATCAGATTCATCTGAACTATCGCAGAGAACCTTCCTTTTGACTGACTTTGGTTTTTTCACCTTACTTTGCAATTGTTCGTCTGTCTCCTGGGTGTCTGTCAAAATTTATGTTTTACCACGCTTTTGTCCCTTTTAAGAAGTCTTTCGAGCTACGGCTTTAGGGAATGGGCGCACTACAAACGGGCTTTCGAAGTCAGCGTTATTTGCCTTTTTATCATTAGACTGCAGTAGTAGTGCCGTTGTCAAGTTTAATGATGGATTTGGGGATAGTTGAAGACTTGATGAGCAAGATGCCGTATTAGAATTCTCTTCTGATTCTAGACTTGGGCGATCTGTTACATAGAACGACAGATATTCATGGTCGCTAACTATATTTACATTAACAGGTCATATAACTGTTTTTCAAATCCTTTAACAATATTTGCATGGGTAAATGCTTTTTCAAATGCCTTGTCTACGAGTTCAGCTACGTAACTCAAGCTTACAGATCGTCTAGGATAGGTCATCATCCACTCATTAGATATGGTGTTGTCGTAGGTTTTGTACTGTCAAAAAATACTCCTGTCAAGAGGTTGAGTTCTGTGCTAGGTGTGTGGTGGCAACGTTAATAGCACAATATTATGTTCCTTTGCTAAATCGATCACGGAAACTGCAATATGAGATTCGTGATCATCGAGTATTAGTAGCACTTTTTCTTGCTCTCTCGGCTTAACGTGGGCTATAAAATGCTGCAAGTAGTGTAAAAAAAGCTTCTCGTTTGACCATACTGATGGATTTGCGCCTCGAACTAAGCCCGGTGGTGCACCATGTAAATAGCACATGATTACCGATGGCATTAACCGCAGCAATCAAAGTTACATTGATCCCTATTTCTTCGGATATTATACTACCCAGTTGATTTATAACTTTTAAGGCTATTATTCTAGGTGGGGTATGGACTGAAGAATTCCGGGTTCATCTAAATTATAGATATTGGCAGGGGAAGACTTATAACGTGACATTACTGGTTTAAGATTGTGAAAAGTTAAAAAAAGCTTGGTTATTTTTTTTATGTTAAAACTGGTTGACCTTGCTAGGCTTGTAGCCTCGGGTTTCCTTAACAACAAATATGAATGCCAATTCATGAAGTGTCTTAGCCATTCTTTGCCTGCAGTTGTCCAATTGTCTGGTGTTTTTATTTTGTTTTCACGTGCGTATTAAAATGCTAAGATTTTTGCATCTTTCTTTGTGAGTCCATAATGAAGCAACGCTGCCTGTGTCAAGTACTGCACCAACTGTGACTTTAACACAAAAAATTCACAAGCCTGACTAAATTCAAAGTCTTTATATTTATGAAGCGAAACTATTGTACCGATCTCAAGTGGTCAATAGCAGAACGTTAAAGCAAAAATTCTTTTCAACATGGAGAAAACTACAATTTTAACGACAGTGTCCAGAGATACAAGTGCCCAAAAGTACAACACTCTTCCCTAAACTATCGACAAAAATCAAGATTGGGTTTAAAGGTAAAGAGTTCAGCTTTTGTATGCAGTTTTTGTACTTTGACGCAAATAAACTTAGATTTTATACAGGTGTTATTCTCACGAGATCCATACTATATATCCCTTTCATTGACTGGCCACTATAAAGTTTTGATTACTAGAGCCTAACCTTAAAAATCTATAGCATAAAATTTTGTTTTGAGTTTTGGCAACCAATGTATAGCATTTGAAATATGCTTAAAAAACTCTAGATTTAAACCTTCACACAACAAAAGATCTCATCATTATCAGTAGCTCGACAATCCTTTCTGGGTCCTGGCTTGTTCTAGGATTTTCCACCATTCTGTTCTGTTCCTTACTTTGTTTTTCCAGTTAGTATTGGTTTTTCCAGTGCATCGTTTTCCAACAAACGATCTAAAACATTAAAAAAAAATTTTTCAATTACACTAGTATGTTTTTTAAACAAACAAAACTTTTGCAATAAACTACACTTAAAACTGTCTGCTTAAATGCATTTCTCGTGACATGTGATCATTTATAATATAAAACATTTAATTCTGCTTTTTTTTATTCATATTTCAAATGCCCCATATGTCTTACCACAACTCAATTTGGTTCTCTTTACATTTATTTAATAAAAACATTTTTATATTTTAGGGATCCTCTTATTGGATTGACAATTAACCTAGTGACATCAATTGCTATTTTATGCATAATGTTTTTGGCATGCATTTTTGCTTACAGACAGATTACAAAATTGGATTTCAATACAGCGAGTCACAATATACTAGACATTGTTTTGTTATTTGTCTGCATTCCAGCATTCTTCCTTAATGGTGTATTTAGTATCATACCTGCAATTATTCACAAAAACGCCTTAAGTTCTGTTTCCATAATATTAGAGGTAAATTATTTTTTTTATTTATATAATTATATTAAAAACTGACTCCTTCTAAACACTTTTGAATATTTTGTGGCAAAAACCATTTTTTTTTCTTTGATGTATTTATTTGCAAGTTTAGATAATAAAGAATAAAAGCATATATACGAAAACTAAGGAAAATGTTTTGGAAGTGAGTATATATCAAGAAACAGCACTATGAATATTATTATTTTTTTATTATTTTCCAAGTAAAGATTTGAGATATGTCCTGTTTGGACAATATTCAAATTTGATAATGCATAAGCATAAGAAGAATACCCGCCAGTGCTGGTACCTTCCTTATTAAATTTAACTTGAAATAATACCTAAAAAAAAGAAGAAAAAAAGGCTTTCAACCTTTACATCGTCCACTTTTTTCATAGTTCACACTTCACAATACTGCCCTACTTTCTCTACCTTATTTTCCTATACAAACGTCAACACCTTAATCCTATACAATTTTGTGTTTCTTTAAACACCCATTCTCTACAATATTGCCACACCTTCCTCTCACAAATTTTCGACCCCAATGTTAACTTCAGAACCATCCACATCTATTATACCAACATATCACCATCTTATCCACTCTTCACTTCTACATCACATTCCTGTCAATTCTGTTCTCTTTCACTATTTCTTGGTCAATTCATATATCAAACATGTATCCAATAGTTTTAATTTAGTAATCACTCAAACATTATCTAACAATTTATTAAAATTCACAATGTACCATATTACAAAGAATCCTTATCTGCCATTGTCCACCTTCTCTCGGTCAACAACTTAGTAGCACACTTATACAACACATTTCAGGTTTCTACAAACTGAATTTAATACCACTAAAATAGATTTTGTTCAGGGTGCTAGATACTTTAAGTATAAAGGACCCCTTTTATCTCTAATTGTTGATTAACTCCTTTTCTCCTTCAATCGCCCCCTCTCCTTTTCTTCAGTCATTTCCTTTACTTTTATTCTCATTAGTCTCTGAGGAACCCAGCCTCTTCAATTTTAAATTCAATCACATAGGTTACTACTTTAATTTCTTCAGCCTGTAGATTTCCATCTTACTAAACTTAATTTTATTAATTTTTCACCATAGGAGCAATCTTAAATAAAGTCATTTAAATATGAGGTCTGATATTAGCTTCAAATATTTGTTATTTAATTTTACCTTGTCCTAGATGGGATAAACATAAAAGGATAATTTTCATAGATATAAGCTAATCCAAACATAAAACACACTTTTAGACCACAGTCCATACGACAAAAAGCAACATAAGTTGCCTAAGGCACAGGTCATTCTATTAATCTATACTATAAAACCATCATTGATTTCACATCTTCTATACCCTAAATTAATAAATAAAAAAGTTTTTTTTTTTTTAAATCCTAACACCTAGATTGTTGTTATTTTAAAATCATCAAAACTTGTTGAATCTTTTGGCTGTAGTAATACTATGTACAACTAATATAGTTTTTGTTGCAATGACATTCGGTTTTCATCATCCTTCACAAGTATCTTGTCAATCAGTTCCCAGCTGTTCTCCGCGTGTAGAGGTTCTCTCTCACCGGCTCTGGTAACTCGATTCAGCCATGTGTTACCTCTAGTCAAATTTAATTTAATACTGAACATCACAGTTATTTTATAGCACAATGTACAATCTTTTATAACTAAATGTAATTTAAAGGGTTTTTACCCTAGTATTTTGGTGGCTCAGGCATTGTGACCTAGTAAGTATAACCATCTTTTGCTTTTCAACCATAGTCAAAATTTTATAATCTCGTTTGTTTTAACTAAATGGTTCATACTTATTTTGAGGCATTTTCGATTTTAAAACCTGATGATGGACTGTGTGGTCCGAAAACGTTTGTTTTATTGATGTAGCCCTTTTAAGGGTTTTTTTTTTTAATAAATATACCCATTTACAAAGACTAACCTCTTTTTGTGATACGTGGTATACAGCCAGCTACAGGAATTTTTTTCCTTGTGGATTTTTTTACCTAAAAAAAGTTTTCTTATATTCTAAATAATTTATTTATGAAATCTAATGGTATGTCCAAGGATTTGTGTCTCTTAAGTCTTCTTAGAAGATATGAATAAGAACCGAGAGGTAGTGACCACCATTAAATCTCGAAAGTTACAATTCGTCGGACATATTATGCGAAATGAATCCAGATATGCTCTCCTTCAAGCCATCCTGCAAGGAAAAATATTTGGAAACCGAGGTCCAGGAATAAGAAGAACATCTTGGTTAAAGAACCTCAGAATATGGTTCAATACAACATCTGTGCAGCTTTTCCGCGCTGCTGCAAATAAGATAAACATTGCCATGATGATCGCCAACATTCGTAACGGATAGACACATCAAGAAGAAGAAGAAGAAGAAGTCATCTTACACTCCTGCTGTTGTCTAGTAGGTTTACCGCACTATAGCCCAGGGAAATAAGCATTTTTTCATGACACTCGTCGGCCAGGCAAACGACAGTTGTTTTGAGTAGTGTGGACCTCTGTAATAAAAAACCTATATGTTTCCTGCAGTCGATTTTTTGGACAAAATTAGTTATTAACAAATTAAGTTCAAAAAACGGAAAAATTTTTGCTTTTTCGGCTATCAGCAAAAAGTGAAGCAATTTAAACAAATTTTAGAAGAGGGGAAACTTATAAGTTATATAAAAATCTCAAAATGGCGTTTTCAAAATGTTCCTATCCTTATTTGTTGCTTAGAAAGTTGCAAAATAAGTCAAAAATTTTGGTTTTTTTATAAATGTATGTTAATAACTTTTTTGAAAATAAACTCATAATATTTATATTTCATGGAATGATGTGTCTTGTAGTGCTTAAAATAGGGTTAAAATTTCAAAGTGATCGGTTTAATAGTTTAAAAGTTATTTAATTTGTTTATCCCAAATTAACATTTTTTGCAACAATATAAGTCAGAAATTTATACAGTTTAAGAAATTGTAAGGGTTGTTTCTGGTAGAAGACGACTTGTTTTATTATTTACATTAAAAAAAATTAAGAAAATTAATTTTAAATATTGCAAATAATTTTGCAAAAACATGTCGATTTTTTGCTTATAAACAATTAGAATAACTTTTTAACCATTGACTGTAAAAATATTATTTTTACATATTTAAAAAGCTTGAATTTTTTCACAAATTTAAATAAAAAAAAGTTTGTCCTAAAATAATTTGGTACAAAGTTAGCCTCTTTTTTTATTTAATTCATAGCACCTTTGTTTATAACAATTAAGAAATCTAATTAGCGCTATTTGAAAGAATATACATTATAGTTTTAAACTACTAAATTTTAAAATTATTGCCCTTTAATGAAATCCTCCACAAAGTTTCAAAATGTATGTAAAATCCGTCGGCTATGAAACTCTCGGGAGCTGAAGGAGGGGGAAGGCGCTGTTAACTGTATCTCTGTTCCTTTTTTATGTATTTCAACGTTTTTTTTTTTTTGAACTTGTATGTACTTTTTGCGTACATTACGAATATGCATTATTTCAATAAATAAATTGTCAAATAAACCACATAATTTGTTTAAAAACAATTTTTTTTAGTTTTTTAGTAGTATTTAAGTTAAGTTTGAATGTAAAACAGAAGTACTTGTCATTTCCTATATTTTGGGGAATAAGCCACAATTTAAGTTTATAATAAGTTTATTTTTGACATTTCGATTTCTACTTCGGAAATCTTTCTCAGAATACAGAACAATAATAAATTAATCAAATTTTGTTTTTGTTTACTTGGTAGAAAATTTGGTTGGAAATTTTTCTGATAACTCTTCTGGTGATTGATTAGGGTGAGGAAGCTCAGTAGATCTGTTTTAGTAAAAATTACAAAAAAAAGTTATTGACAAAACTTATAGACAGCTTTAAACTCGACATTTTAAAATTAGTTACAACCTTACAGGGTGTTCTATAAGATGGTAGCAGACCAAACTTATGTTTTTTAAATGAAACACCCTGTATTTTATTTTGAATTTGAAATCTGCTTCACTTCCACATCACAACAATGTAAAATTTTATTATGTTATACCGGGTATTAAGAAAGTTATAACCAATATTACCTGAAAATCGTATCAAGTTTAACTCCCTGTATAATTAAAAGGAGTATAGGTCCATTGATCTATTGCAACCATAGTTTTTTAATAATTGTTAAAAATTATAAAACATATTCGTTTTCATAATATTCGTTAAATCAAATACATGGTAAGTCAAAATGTAAGTACATTATTTTCTTGGTAATTTTAAATAGAACACCCTGTATTTTATATCACTATCGAAAAGTACTAATATCGTACTTCAAATTTTTATACATAAATACTCCTATTTATACTAATATTTTATACATAAATAAAAAATACTCCTTATACATAAAGTTATTAGTTTTCTAGATATTTTTATTTTTCCATCAAAGTATAAATTTTGAAGATATTTTAACGTTTACCAATAATTATTGTGAGTTTACCATGATTGATTTGTCAGAAATGACAGTTTGACATTATTGTTTATTAATTCAGTATTGGGGTACATCGTAAATTAGCAACAATTATTATTTAGCAATTCAATAATTTATTCAATTTAAATTAGCAATAATGAATTTTACTACTGAGGAAATGATAGATAAATATAATCTGGATATTGGGGGAAGGCAATAAAAATTCATTACTATCAGCTAAAATTTATCATCAACTGTTTCCAGATAGGCGCAACCTAGACAAGATACATTTGAAAAATTGAAAGATCGATTTAACCGCATGGTTCAGTGAATATGAAAAACATGAACGAAAAAAAAAAAACTAGTGTGACAGAGGAAAACGAAATGAGTGTGTTGATGGCAGTTACAGAAAACCCACTCACAAGCATAAGGAGTATTTCCAATAAGCAAGAACTTAGTTACTACTCTGTTCAAAACATTCTATCTAAAAACAAGATGCACCCATATCATATTCAAAAGTACCAAGAATGAAATGA